ATGCTAGCTCTCTTTCACACAATTAAACAATACTTGCTCAGATTCGTATTTTCACTCCTGCGGGGGTTCAAGAGAGCCTCCCCCGAGGAGACCCCCTTGGAGGCCCAAGTACTCCCCAGGGGCGTTGAGGACGACGGCAGTCAATCGCCTGTCAATTCCTCGACTGACACTTACTCCAGCGAAAGTTCGTGCTCGGTCACCGAATCCGACCAGGAGTCCGACCAGGAATCCGACCAGGAATCCGACCAGGAATCCGACCAGGAATCCGACCAAGAGGCCCACCAGGGATCCGACCAGGAGTCCGACCAGGAGTCCGACCAGGAATCCGACCAGGAATCCGACCAGGAATCCGACCAAGAGGCCGACCAGGAATCCGGCCAGGAGTCCGACCAGGAATCCGGCCAGGAGTCCGACCAGGAATCCGACCAAGAGGCCGACCAGGAATCCGATCAAGAGTCCGACCAGGAGTCCGATCAAGAGTCCGACCAGGAGTCCGATCAAGAATCCGACCAGGAGTCCGATCAAGAGTCCGACCAGGAGTCCATCCACGAGGACGATGCAGAACTCGCTGCCCTGGTTTGCAAAGTGCTGAACTTCGACGTTGTGAAGGGCAAACCCAAGAGGCAGAAGATGCCCCGGCCCGCGGCGCAGCCCGTCGCCACCGTCAGCCTGCCTCTCCACGTCGCACAGGAGGACCGCCGGCGGTTCTTCCAGCAGGCTACGAAGGCCGCGGAGAAGTTCGGCGTGAAGCTGGTCAGCCCTCCCCTCGGCAACTACGTGGCGCCCTTCCAGGTGAGGGGCAAGGAGGAATCCGCCCGCGCCTACATCGAGCACATGGACCTCTTCGTTCACGGCAACAAGGTCCTGCGGATGCCGATCGAGATCCCGGTGGCCCTGCAGTCCCTGATGAAGGCCAAGCAGGCCCCGGGCATCTGGCTCGATATGCCGTCCCGGGAGGAGCCCTCGGAGTCTTGCGCGCTCGTCGGCAAGACGAAGGACCGCGCTCAGATGCTCAAGACGTTCGAGGAAATCCAGCAGCAGCTTCGCAGCCTGGAGACGGCCTCCCCGGACATCGCGCCCGAGCACTACAGTAAAGCCATCGGCAAGAACGGTGATCGCATCAAGTACATCCACAAGAAGTACCACGTACTCATCACCGTTCCCAAGGACGGGTCGCCCATCACTGTCTCGGGCAAGCCCGAAAGTGTGCGCGATGCCATTAAGGAGCTGGAGGAGCTCGTTCAGCAGGACGCGCTCAATCAGCGCGCGTTCCTCCCGGTGAACATCCTCCCCGAAGACCTCGGCGTCGCCATCGGAAAGGGCGGAAGCCACGCCGCCAAGGTCCAGGAGGAGTTTGGAGTCAAAGTCTACACCAAATCCAAGAAACATCCTGAGAGCCCGCTGGTGGTCGAGGGGCCCCTGAGGGAAGCCCAGAAGGCCGTGGCCTGCATCGAGCAGCATGTTGCCGAGAGGCGCCGCCTTAATGAGGAGCGCGCCGAGGAGTGGCGTCGCAGCCAGGAGACGGCCTCCCCGAATATCGCGCCCGAGCACTACAGCAAAGCCATCGGCAAGAACGGCGATCGCATCAAGTACATCCACAAGAAGTACCACGTACTCATCACCGTTCCCAAGGACGAGTCGCCCATCACTGTCTCGGGCAAGCCCGAAAGTGTGCGCAATGCCATCAAGGAGCTGGAGGAGCTCGTTCAGCAGGACGCGCTCAATCAGCGCGCGTTCCTCCCGGTGAACATCCTCCCCGAAGACCTCGGCGTCGCCATCGGAAAGGGCGGAAGCCACGCCGCCAAGGTCCAGGAGGAGTTTGGGGTCAAAGTCTACACCAAATCCAAGAAGCACCCTGAGAGCCCGCTGGTGGTCGAGGGGCCCCTGGGGGAAGCCCAGAAGGCCGTGGCCTGCATCGAGCGGCATGTTGCCGAGAGGCGCCGCCTTAATGAGGAGCGTGCCGAGGAGCAGCGTCGCCGTGAAGAGATGATGGAGACGTTCCCCGTCAACGTCGAGCCCGAACAAGTCGGCAGTGTCATCGGCAAGGGCGGTTTCCGCATCCGTTATATCGCCTCGAAGTACAACGTCAAGATCAAGCTCCCTGAGCTAAAGAAGAGAGACGACGCGATCTTGGTCACGGGCCTGAAGGAGGACGCCAAAGTTGCCGCCGCCGTGCTCGAGTTCATGGCCAACCGCAAGATGTTGCACGAGCACATCCTGGTGCCGCTCCGGATCAAGCGCGAGGACAACCTCATCGTACTCGGCCCCGAGGGCTGCAGGGCCACCAGGATCGAGCGGGAATTCGGCGTCAGGATTGTAAGACCCAGCATCAACATGCCCCTGATGGTCGAGGGCAGCGTCGAGGCTGTGGCCGATGCTGAGGCCTTCATCGAGCGGATGGTCGCCGACCGGCTTCAGAACCTGAAGAATAGCAACGCCCGTCGCAACTGATGAACGCCCAGGCCAGTGCGGTTCGGTCCACGCCGCGCTGACCACGCCC